CCAGTTCTCTGGAGAGCCAAGGGGGCTGCTGTGCCCTTTTGCTGCCTTTCCTCCCAGATGGGATGGACTTTGCTTGCGCATCCAGGATTGCTTCCTTTAGGAGCAACCACTTGTCCTGAACTCCCCTCTCCTTTGGGTTGTGGCCTTTTAGGGCCTCTCTGACAAGCCTCCTTAGCTTGTCAAAGTCAGCTTTCCTGAAGTCGAGCTGTATTACTGACTGACTTGCCAGCTTTACGGCAGATGGTGAAGGTCATGGTCACTGTCACCCAGCTTCCCTTCGATCGTTAGGTTGCTGATTAGGTCGTCACTGGTTGCCCGTACGAGGTCAAGCAGCACTTTATCTCTTGTCAGCCTGTAGACTTCCTGCGTCAGATAGAGGTCATCCACGCACGATAGAAAGCTTTGCGACCTCTCGGATTTGGCTGAGCACTTGCTGAGCACTTCTCCCGCAAGATGTCTGGGTAGTTAAAGTTTCCCATGACAACCATACACTGGAAATGTGCAGCCTCAGCCAATTCCCTGGTGAACTCCTGGTCAAGGTCTTGATCCTGGGTAAGGGGTCTGTAGTAGACTCCCACCATAGTATCCTCTGTCCCGCGTTCCCCATGAATTTTAACTCAGAGGGTCTCAAGTCATCCACCGTGGGTGCCAATGTTGGCTTGCAAGGACGCATAGCTTTCCTTGACATACAGAGCTACACCCCTGCCCCTTTTGTCCACTCAATCCCTCCTGTCTAGGATATAGCCGTCTATACCTGTGGTCCAGTCATGGGTGGAGTCCCACCAGGTCTCCATTATCCCAATGACATCATAGTTATTTGCATTTAGCAGGAGAACAAGTTTCTCCTGTTTATTCCCCAAGCTCCTGGCATTTGTGTATAGGCACGCAAGTGTGCCCTTGGAGGCCCTTGCCCTGCCTACATTTTGTTCCAGGGCTGGGGCAGGGATGGGTTCCCTTAAATGGCTTGGTCTGCTGGCTTTACAAGGGTTGCTCAGTGGGCCAGCAGTGGCAGTATTCTCCCCATCCCCCGGCAGGCTTAGTTTAAAGCCTGGTGGAGCAGGTCAGCCAGTCTGGATGAGAAGACCCTCCTCCCCAACGGCGAGAGGTGGAAGCCATCCCTTTCCAGCAGCTCACTGCCTCTCTCACCAAAGAGCAGACTGTGGTCATGAAAGCCAAAGCCTTCCCGATGACACCAGCGCCGCAGTCTTTGGTTAACTACCTGGATCCTCCTCTCCCTCCTCAGCCCATAGCCCGAGACTGGGAGGATCAAAGAAAACTCCACCTGTGCCCCCAGACCCTTAAGCCCCACACCCAAATCCCTGTAGTGCCTTATGACCCAGCTGGGAGCGCTCCGAGCCATGTCATTTGTGCTCACATGGATGAGGAGCATGGGATAGTGGTCAGTGGGCTGGAGGAGTTTAGGGATCTTCTCCGCAATGTCTTGGATTCTGGCTCCCGGGAAGCAGCAAACTTCCCTGGCTAAGGGGTCGGGGAGGGAGATTACTCCCTCAGTCCCCCTCAGGATGGAGTCTCCAACAACAAACATTTTGCATTTGGTCTTGGGGAGAGTGGGGGCGGTATCTACAGTGTCGTCTGTGTTCCCTGTGGGAGCTGGCAACTCAGCAGGCTCTGCTGGGGTTGCAAGAGGTTCGTACCTGTTGTAAAGCTCCAGCAGGGCAGGGGCCTCAGTGTGGCAGGCCTTGGGGCCCTTTGCCACTTGGTCCAAGCCCTGGGCTGGACAGTAAGGGAGGTCCCTGCCCAGGAGCGAAGCAACAGCTTTGCTTCCCTTGCATTCTAGGAGTTCCACAAAAATAAATCTACAGTCAAGCCTCTCTTAAACTCCAAAGCATACCTCACATTTTCCCACCATTTCCAGAACTTGGACACTGCATACTTCTGTCAGAGAAGGTTCAACAGCATATGCAGTTCTGCCTACATCAGATCATATAAATATACCAGAGCAGGTAAGCTCAAAGAAAACAAAACTGATGCTTAGACGCGCACATCAAAACTCTTACAACAATTACTACTACAGAGGAGTTTTGGTTGCAGCATGGATCCATGATGTGGCACATGTGAATATTTCCTGACAATGTTTATATTTAAGTACTAGGAACAGAATGACAGAAATGAGCTCCGCATGTGCTGCACAGAATTTTCTATATTAATGTATCAACCTAAAGAATCATATTATACTATTCTGAAATACTATCATTCACTCACAGTTGGCTTATCCAAAGTTTTAATAGTGTTGAAAATGTCTTTCATTGTGACCTTTTCCTATTACACCTTATCTATTAGATACAGATTGGAGAGCAGAAGTAACTACCTACTCCTTACATCAGATTGTGAAAATATATGTAGGAAGTCACTGGTATGAAACTTACTTACAAACCTTGCTGAAGGTACAGTCATTGACTATCTTTACATTGCCTTGAGTGTAAGATTGTCTAAACCGTTTCAGTATTGGAAGTGTTTTAGTACTAGAAGGGATTGACCTGGCAGGCTAGAACAGTCAGACCTTCATATCTAGGCTGGGAGTTGTGTAAAGGCAAGAGGTTCAATTCCAATGAGGAAAGAAATACTTGAAATTACTCTTGAGAATACAGTTACCTTTTTGACTAACAGCATTGCCTAGTGCTGATGGATCCTGGTTAGCCCTTCTTTGACATATGCCATCAAAACCATATAGATAGACAGATAGAGGGAATGCCTTCCCTCTAAATTATCACTAGAAATACAGAAGAGCTAATAGAAAAATATGAAGGACTCAATTCAGCACAGCATCTAAACATATGACTAATTTTACAAAGGCACTTAATAGGGCTGTGCGAAATGGAAGCATTCTGTTTCAACCAGCGTTTCGATGTTTCGACAGAATAGTGTTTTGTTTTGAGTTGAAATGGCTGTTCTGTTTCGATGTTTTGCACATAGGATATAATGGGGAAGGATGAAACAGACTATAACTTTGTCATTTCTGGCCAGATTTGGATGAAACTTGCAGAAATGGTAACCCCTTCTGAGGGCATGATGCGTGCCAAGTTTCAAGAAGATAGGTGCAGGGGGTTCAGAGAAACTGCACCCTGAAATCTTGAGAGCAAAACTCACGTCACTTGTACGTGTTAAGGCACAGTGGGGTCAAAACTTAAGGGATGCTAGCCCTCTGCTGAGGCAACAAAGCCTGCCACATTTCAAGGAGAGAGGTGCAGGGGGAGGTGTAATGGTCACAAACTCCTGGAAGATCATTTGAGACTCATTTCAGGCTCAACATTAGAAAAAACTACTTCACAACTAGGGTGTCCAGACTGTGACCATTATTTCTAGCTTTCCCCAAGGGTGCCCTGGTGAACAGTTGTTCACTGAGCCCTAGATGTACACTTCTGATGTAGCAGGAAGCTGCTACCAAGTCCCCTCTCAGCTTTCTCTTTTTCAGGCTGAAGAGTCCCAGGTCTCTCAGCCTTTCCTTGTATGGCTTGCCGTGCAAGTCTCTGATCATATGGGTAGCCCTTCTCTGGACTCTCTCAAGCTTTACCATGTCCTTGTTAAGGTGTGGAGCCCAGAACTGGACGCAGTAATCCAGCTGCAATCTCACCGGTGCTGAGAAGAGCCGAGTACAGCAGGAGAATCACTTCTTTGCAATGGTTTTACTGGAGATGCATCAATTGATGCATGCCAGCGTATTGTTGGCCCTGCTGGCTACAGCATCACATTGCCGACTCATGTTCATATTGTGGTCAATTATTACCCTCAGGTCTCGGTGACAAGTGATGGGGGATGAGAGGCAGCAGTTGCATAAGCACCCATGTCGTAAGTTTTGCCTGTCAGCAGCTAGGGGTGCAGGGCCCCAGAACCCCCTGCACCAATCTCCTCGACAGCTAGCAGGCTTAGTGGCCGCAGCAGGACCTAGCAGTCAGGCCTGCAGTAGTTTCCCCTCCCCCGTGCTCCAAGACAGACACAGTTGCACAAGCACCTATGACATGAGTTTTGCCTGTCAGCAGCCAGAGGTGCAGGGCCCCAGAACCCAGAACCCCTGCATCTATCTCCTTGACAGCTGGCAAGCTTCATGGCTACAGCAGGGGCTAGCAGGCCTGCAGCTTTCACCCTGCTGTGCCTTAACACACACAGTGTCACCCATGTCATGAGTTTTGCTTGTCCGCAGCTTCAGGTGCAGTTTCCCCCAAACCCCTGTACTTATCTCCTTGAAACTGGGCAGGCTTCATGGCCTCATTAGGGGCTAGCATGCCTGCAGTTTTGACCTTGCTGTGGCTTAACACATACACATGACATGAGTTTTGCTCTCAGGATTCTGGGATGCAGTTTCTCTTAACCCCCTGCACCCATCTGCTCAGAAACCCCAGCTGTATTGACTATGGCAGTAGAAGCAGGGCAGGGAGCAGAAAGCAGAACAGACTAGGAGAAGGGGATTGGAGTGGCATTCAGGGGGCATGTCCAGATGAGTGCACATGTACCTCTTACAGCATCCCAGACTAGTTTGAGATGCTGCAAGAGGCATGCTGTGACTGAAACAAATGTTCCCTGCACTGAATGTTTTCAGCATGGGCTCAACATTTGATACCTGGAGATTCCTGTGAGTGGCTCTGGCCCCTGGGTGACAGTGTGAGTGGCCCTGGGGCTGCAGAAAGGTGTATGGCCCTGTGCAGAGCTGCAGTGAGCCAGGCCAGTCCCACAATGAGAGGCACAGGCCGCACCGACTCTGTGGTGATAGGGTGCCACGCAGTGCTGTGGGGGAGCAGGCAGCAGCAGGACCTAAGCACCCCATGCCCGCTGCTGCTGCAGGGGTGAGTTGTGGGCCCTGCAGAGGGGCTGTGGCCCTGCAGGGGAGGGGGGGCTGGGACCCTGCGGGAGTGCAGTCCATGTGCTGTGTGTGTGTGGGGGGGCTGCAGCCAGTGGGGGGCGTATGACCCACCCCTCCTGAGCAGCTCCCTGACAGCCCCCCACAGTCTCCCCACACCCACTCACACACCGACCCACATCCCCGCCACTCCCCTTCCCACCTCCCTCCTGCAAACCCCACATCCCCCTATCACACACCTATCATACAATAAGAAAACCAAAAGCAAGCATCAAAACATATAGAGATTTAGGATTAATTTTATTATGATCATAAAGACACTGGTAGGCTTCTGAATTGCTTTAACATTGTAAATATAGCAATAAAACATAGCCCAACTGATCTCTCTCTCTCTCTCTCTATCTATCTATATGTGTGTGTGTGTGTATATATATAATGGTCTTTTGTTCTAATTGTGGAAGAACATGAATTTGCGGGTATTTTAAAAAGTGAATTTTGGATGCTGCTTCAGCAGCCCATCTGACACAAGGGGTAGCATCCCCAGATACCAATTGGCCAGGCCCCAGAAGCTCCTGCCTATTTGTATCTTTTGGTGGACATTCACCCAATTAATGAATAGCTCCCACTGTTAACATGTTCCAAGTTAACATGGGCCTTACGGCCCATCCAGTTAACTGCCCCTATTGTGTGGGGCCAAAGGGTGGAAGATACAACTAAATTTCTTGGGCCAACAAAGGCCAAAACAGGGAGTGTCATGTGGTCCAAAGGGTCAAAACATGAAAATAAGTGTTCCAGAGGGGGACACCGAGCAGAGCCCCCCAGGCTGCACCCACAGATCCTCAAAGGCATCCAAGGACTTAGTGGATACCACCCACTGGTGCTCTGCCCAAAACCATGCACAGACGAGTGAAAGGAACACAAACCTGCAGTCCCTGGGCACCTTCCTGGCCAGAGCCAGGGCAGGTTTTTATAGTAGTGGGACCAGCACAGGTGCTAGCCCCAGGCTCTAGGTCCCCCTGGTTGCAAATCCAGGAAGAGCTGGGCAGTGTTATTTTGCCCCAAGTGGCACAACTTGCCCCACACCAAAGTGTATGTCTGGGCATGTGCGCTGAGGCAAAAATCCCCAGCTCATATTTGTGCTGCTCCTATTTGAGCTGCTGCAAGATCATGTGCCTGCATGTGTGGACACGCCCCTGGAGGGTGCATGGCTTACATGTGGCACATTTTCTCAAAAGGCTGACCCCCACAAATCTAGGGATTCCCACTAACAAGACAAATTGCACAGTATGCTAACAATTTTCTTGAGATGTAGCTATGTGCAGCCTTGCATGGCTGAAAGGAGAAATGCTCTAATATTTGATATGAAGGGATTTGGAAAGATAAGAGAGAAAATTTACTATCAGGAAATATTCACACTAGGATCTTCTTAAAGCCTAATATTTATTTATTTCTGTAGTGTCCACAGTTGCTGTCAAATGGCAAAAAAGTGTATTGGATTACATATGGCCAGAGCCTCCTAATCCACGGAGATGGACAAATATTTCGACATGTTCTCAACTTCCTTAGACTTGGCGAGCTGTTTTTACCAGCTGAATTTAAGTAAGAAAAGACAATTCATGCACCTCCATAGTTTTTTTATGTAAGATATCTCTGGGGAAAGTATATACATGTCATTTAAGGCAGTGGCTCCCAACCTTTTTTTGCTGTGACCCTAAATCTGGGTTGTGACTCCTGCCCACGCCACTGACTCACTCATGCCCGGTGGAGCCAGTGGAGCCCAGGCCAGGCCTGGATCACAGGGGGCAGCGGTGGCAAGAGCCATGCAAACCGTGCACCAGGAAAGCCCTGCAGGCAGGAGGGGCGGAGCAAGGGGCAGACCCTCCACAACCCTGATTTGGGTTGGGCCCTGAAGTTGGGAGCCACTGATTTTATGTATAGTTTTTTTGATTGGCATAGTGATGGTAGCCTAAAGAATGAAAGCAAGACTCTTTCTTTAGTGCTTGTTAATACACATATTGTATTGTTGGAACAAGTCATCATTTTACTTTAGACCAGGCATTCGCAACCAAAATGGAGCAGTGGGTCATTTTAACAGAGCTAGCTCTGAAGGTGGGCTACCCTTTCTTACCTGGCCACTAGTACCACCACTG